CTATTCAGTTCTTGAAACACGTAGATGAGCTCATGTTCGACTACATTTAGTTTTTTTGGAAATTGTGATATTTTATTCCGGAGAATAAAGAAAAAATTTGGTGAAATTCCAGGACTTTGGATGTCTGACATATGACAACTCAACCATATGTCATCTATGTGTTTTAAAAACTGCTATGTGTTTCAAAACTGAATGTAGTCAAACATGAGCTCATCTATGTGTTTCAAAAACTGCTTGAAATAGTACACATAATTGCATTCGTCTGACATAACATACCATAAACCTAACATACAATTAACCCAGAAAGTGTCCAACTTCTCTAAATTAGAACCCCAGCGCATCATATCACAGTCTAACGATGCAGTCTTCCAGATTCATGTCAGACTTAAAGGTATGACCTCTTTTTGTTTCAGACCAGATAATATTATGTAAAGTAAAAAATTTTCCATATTTCGACCTTTTATGTAAGGTTGTTCATGAGAGAATCTTAATATTTTGTAGAAATGCAAAAGAAGGCAAGTAGCTCACAAATACCTTCACGATGAAGGAAATAATGCATTCAAAAATTTCATTTTACAAATTCAAGCTCAGGACAGAGCATTGAGACTTACGTGATTGAATTAGTCAGTCCCTTGAAGTGAGGAAAAGATCCTTTAGGATATTGACAACTACGGTCAACAGGGACATTAGACGTTATAACAGGAACTTGAAAAGTCATGAATATGCATTTAGAAAACTCAAGCAACGATAGGTCTTGAGACAGATGATATCAAACCAGTAAACAATCTAGTACAGTGGCATGAACAACAAATTGACTTTGACATGTATGACCAATAAAAAGATGAAAAGGGAAAGAACCGTTACAAGCTCAAGTTCTCGAACGCTACGGATGTCTTGAGGTAGATCACTCATTTGTTTGTATCCTGTTTTAAACCAGATATCAAGGCCAAATTCTACTGGAAGACTGTGAAATAACATACAAAATGACTACAATTTACCTCTCTCTTTGTTTCCATTTCTGCAAGTTTAATGTATACCTCCACCATTTGTTTCATCTTCGTAGCCAAATTAACAAAATCAATAAATGACACAATAACCGACACATATTAAAGAAATGAAATGCAAAATCTGAGAATTGTACTTGTCTGATGATAGCCCCGTAATAAGATGACAACTCCTTCAATAGATCTTCAGTCACCATTTGTTTCTACTGCGCTGCTTGTCCTTTTGATTCCAGTCACCATTTGCCAGAGCTAGCAGCTAATAACCAACAAGGAAAGAAAGCACGTGAGATGCATTAGTCATGCACTCATGTAATTCATGGTGTGACATCCCTGAACGTACATGAACCAGCACATAAAATGCACGGCAATCAACCAAAACAGATATATCACTAGAGATAGAGAGAGACAGATTCTAAAGCATGGTAACTCGAGATGAAATTTCTCAATAGTCCAACCATAGTACCTGGAATATTCTATGATAAGGATGGTCAAGGGCCATTTCTTCACGAGAGAAAACAGTGCAAACTGCAATTACCAACAGCCTGAGAACGAAAAAAAAGTAAAGAAAAAAAAATGTGATCTATATAAGAAGAATTCAGAATAAAAACTAACCTGGAAGCTTGTAGGTCCAAAAGAGTCCGTGGTGCCACTCAGTCTTGATGCAAATTGGTATACCAATATAATAAACTTATAAGATTGTACCTGGGGGAAGGTAACAATAGATAAATGAATTATTAAACCAAATGCTAAAGATAGATAAACTATAGGTACATGATGCAGAAAAGGAATATTTTGATCTATCAACTAGAGTGTTAATAATCAAAACTTTACCTCCTTGATAGTAGTAATCATGCTATCCACAACAAGGTGTCTACTTGAAAGACTGAACCATAGCGTAACAAGTCGAAATACCTAACAGCAGACAAGAACTTGTCAAATTTTAGAAAGTCGACATTAAAAATAAAGATTCGGCTAACATAAAAAAAAATGATACACAAAAAATAGTCATCAGGAGTAGCAAAGGAAGAACGAGCATGGATATTCCTCTAATTTTATCAGAATGTATACTCTGGTGTATTGGAAGCAAAATCAGATCTTAAAAAAATAAAAGATGATCGGTCTTCATTCTCTTCGCCTCCGGCAGGTTATTTCTGCGCAGTATCTCGACCTCCGCTCTCAGGCAACAGTTTCTCCTCAGGCAACTCGTTTCATTTTAACTAAGTCTCTATCAACTCAGTCTCCGCCTCAGCCTATTTCCATTGCTTCTGGTTCTCTGGTAGTTTCTACTCACTCGGCTCAATATTCTTTTGATTCGTTCAAAAAGTCATCTGGTTTTGTGACCGAAGGCAATGTAACCAGATGGCTTTTTGAACGAAACAAAAGGATATTGAGCTGAGTGAGTAGAAACTACCAGATAACCAGAAGCAATTGAAATAGGCTGAGGCGGAGACTCAGTTGATAGAGACTTAGTCAAAATGAAACGAGTTGCCTGAGGAGAAACTGTTGCCTGAGAGCGGAGATCGAGATACTGAGCAAAAATGACCCGCCGGAGCCGGAGGCGAAGAGAATGAAGACCGATCATCTTCAAAGGTTTTGTTTCTAAGAGAGGAAAGAATTTCGGATTTTTGTGTGGGGACAAAAGGTAGGGAGGTAGGGTTTCTTCACGAGAGCAAGTGTGGGGGTTTTTAGTGATAGACTAGGCCTACATGGGCCTCTTAATGTGTGAGGGTGGGCCTTAATATTATGTGATTGGGCTAGACTTTAAATCATGTAATAAATACAAAAATAAATAAAAATTACAAAATCTCAAGAACAAAATAAAAAGACCTTTCGGGTTTTTCTAATGAAGCATATACAAATAAGAATGCAAATTTCAAATACTAAAAAAAAAATTAAAAGGTTTTTCAAATTAATAAAAATTCAATCAACATTATCAAACATAAAAATTTTTTCTTCATAAAAAATCATACCTTCATACCTTCTTATTTGCCAACATATATTTCATATCGCCTAAAATTTTTATCAATTAGAAGTTTGAATGAAACTTCTAAAAACAAAAATTTTAATAGATGAATTTCAAAAGATTAGATCCTATGCATGAATTTCGTATTTGGGATTTGAGTAATTGGGATGGTTTGGGGGAAATTTATTTGGGATGGTTGGGGAGAAATTTTCTTTTAGAGGGAAGATAGATATGATGCTTGGCGAAGTGTGATGAGTGGGGGTGTTTTTATAGAGTTAGACTAACCCTAACTGCCAGTTAATAACAATAATTATCATTTATGTAAAATAAGTGTTTTATTAACAATAATTAATGTGTCTCGAGAAATTAGAAACTACCACATGTATCATCGGGATAAGACATGTCACGGGTCACACGACTCTCGACCCAGTCTGAAATCAGTCAGATCAGATCCATGTTCAACGCGTCGGAATCGGACCCAAATTTTAATCGGGTCAGATTAGAGTCGACCATTTTGAGCATATGACCCGTAGGACCGAGCCGGGTCAAAAAACAACGATTTTCATTTTATTTTATACTTTGAATGATTCTGAGATTCGGGTCGAACTCGACCCGACTCGGCCTCACTGGCGGGTTTAGGGTTGTAGATTTTTATTAATCATAATATTAATTTTTAGCTCAAGATAAATATTACAATAATACAATATATTTTAGGTTCTAACCATAATATTAATTTTTTCACATATATTCACTTTTTATCCAAAATATATTTATAGAAGATCGTAACAAGTTAGGTGAAATATTTTCTTCCAATTAATCAGGCGAAGTAAGTTGGTGAATTAATGTTTGATAATATAATTTTTTCTTAAACTTTATTTCACTATATATAATAAATAAATTATTCTTCAAATTAATATAATTTACTATTAAGAGATAATGACCACATACATTAAACAGTTTTACTAATGGTCAAAAATTAAAATTAAAATATATTAGTTGTTCTTTAGAATTTATATAAATTTAAATATAATTGACAACCATGAATTTTTTTTTATCATTTTAATTATTTTGATTTATTTGTATAATGAAATTCTTGTAAAATACAGAAAAATCTTGTTTGTAGAAGGGATTGAATTTTCGGCATTTTCTATATCAAATTGTTTATTTAGTATACAAAATTACATTATAAAAAAATATGTGTAAATTTTGAAAAATCTTTATACATTATTGAATTTTAAATTTATTTAAATATTTTAAATTGATTATATAAATAAATAATACTAACATGGATTAAATATTTTTCATTACATAAAAAAAGAAGTCATACAACTTCTATAAATTTTATAAATAATAATGACATTATATGACAACAAAGTTTATAATAAAATAATAATTAAGTATTATATGGTGAACAAAAATATGTAAATATGTTAATTTATCTCATGTCAAGGAATAAATATATATACTAAAATCAAATTTATATTAGTATAAATGTTTTACTGAGATAATATTAATTATCTTACAAGATAGCCACAACATGCTTATATTTAACCAGAGTGTCGTAGAACCACGAATTTAAAAAGATCACATTCAATAATATAAACTAGCATTTCAACTTCATCACATACGATTCCAGCCTTGATTAAATCCATATATATTAGAAGCAGTGGGGGCTTCGCATACCGAAATTGTTAAATGATGAGATGGGTAAAGTTGTTTTCAGAAGGTTACGATTTATTATTCCTTCAATTACACAAATAAAGTAATCTCTTCTAGTGACCTCTTGATTGGTGCTATCATATACACTCTACTACCAGAAAATGAATGGAATTCATATTGTTATACGCATAAATGGGGAGAAAAAAAAGAAACGAATTACTGAAATACCTTCTGACGTCTCATAGCCTTTAGAGGTGATAAAGCCCACTTATATAAAGGATCATGGATAAAGACCTGCATAGCACATTATAATGGTTAGGTTTTCTCGTTTTCACGAAATAGCAGCAGCATCTATATTTGTCCAGTAATTGTACCTCAATGATTGTGAGCAGTGCTTCTTTATTTGTTCTCATCACAGAGAGAGTTTCCTCACAACATCTTCTAAAAACTCCTTCCACCCCAATTACTCCCATGCCATCTATGATGTCTCTCGTCAGCCTAAATGGAACTGAACAGATGGTGTTATTATAATAGTCAAGGCAAGCAAATGAGATAAATGAAATTAACGAAGTCGCAAAACATGGAAATATCCAAGTGAAAAATCAACCCACCCGTTCAGGTGTTTTTAGCATCAGTCCTTGCTCAAATGCGACTCCTAGATCAATATGGACAACTTGTAGCTTGTCAGTTCTAAAAAATCAAACCGTTAAACTTTTTAGGGCTTTATTGGGTGTAATCTAGATTGTAAAAACCGTTGAATGTTCTTTAATAACTTCTACGGCGGCGGCAAAAAAAATGAAACTATCGTGTTTTCTTCTTCGATCTTCAATATGATGGAAGAGAATATTTTGGAAAGAGGGTGTTTATGTGACGTAATTGTCTCGGTGGGTTTCCTGCGGATCCAATGTTTATGGGGCGTAATAAGATAAGGATTGGGCCAATGTTTAGTTTGGGCATTAAAAAAAAAAAAAATCCGATTGTTGTTCAAACTTTCAAGTCTAATGGGCTAATTGGGCAATTTTATATTTTGGGCCGTCTTACAAGCCGTAAGATTTTGAAGATAATGATTTGTAATGATGGAGAATTATGATGATAAGAAAACCACGAACGTTATACATAATGAAATATTTAATAATATTTAGATTTTGTTTCATATAACGTTTTTCAATTATTATGTTATGACTTTTACTATTGTTTATATTTACTATTATTTTATAGAACAACTCCCGTGTATTACACGGGTGTTCGCTAATTTTTTTCTAAAATTTAAAATTAATGAGAAAAAATAGTTGAAAATTTAAATACATTTTATAAAAATATAAATATTATTATATATTTAGTATGATAATTTTAAATTATACGACTCACTTGTGTTATATTATAATAATTATTTTGACTTACAACATATAACTACATTAAATATAAATATATCAATTGAGAAATAATTTTATTTTTCTACAAGATTTTAATAAATATTATTTTTATTTATTATTATAAATATAAATATAACTTATATAGGAGCAACATAGACTCAGCCCATTCGTGAAATAATATATAGGAGGGATTTTTTACCATATAGCATTCTGTGCAAATGCACGGGTTACATCTAGTTATTGATAAATAGGCCTGGGTATAACTCATCCCCAAAAGGTTTAAGGTGTCCAACCACATTAATACATAATGACAATTTTACACAACAATAATCCAGTAGCTAAACAATGTGGGACAAACATAAACTTCTAACACCAGCCCTCATGCGTGGAGTGACAATCTAAATGAGTCAAATCCAAACCCAACATTACCATCAAACAAACAGACTTAGCTGCTCTGGGTAACAAGTATTCTGACTCATTGATCCAATGCAGCTGCTATTGAGTATCAACATAATTCTTTGATTATCTTAAAGATTTTATTGATTTTCATATATATATATATATATTCAATGTAAAAGAAATGGGCAAAATTTTTCGTCTTAACCTTTAGGCTTTTCTACTGATAACAAACCGTACGGAGGACAACAGAAATTATAGAACTACATGTAAAGAAGAAATCTTGGCGGGCCATTTTGAGATCTCTTCACAACCTAAACGAGAATAGAAGTCACATAAGAACTAAGAAATAGGACAAAACTGAAAAATATGAGTTGCATAATCAAAAGCCTCAGAATTAAGCATCACACCGACTGCTTACATTAAGTAAGTGAGCCCTTGGTGAGTAAGTTTCACATATTTTCTCATGGAACATCCGTATGTCATCAAAATATATAGAATTCCGGGAAAGGCACTAACACCTGAAGAAAAGTTGTCAGATAGTAAACGTACGCAACTTAAACAAATTGAACATAACAAAATAAAAGGTGAAGCGGCCATGACATTTTCAGTAAAAAAACATTAGTAACCGATAACCAATAGTTCACCAAGGTTATACCAACTCATACCTTAATGTATTCATACAGAGATGAATCAGAACCGATGGTAAGTTGCTGGAGCAGCAACAACGATTGAGATGAAGCCTTGGCAGAGAGTTTATCACAGGATGCAGAAGGAGCACAACGTGCAACCAACTTAGACACCAAAAACTGATAATTAAAGCATTAGGTCAGTACAGAAAATTATACGCTATTGTCAAAGCTAGTAATACATGCTCCTACCTGAAGTTGTTCACCCAACAGTCTTCCACTGAAGGACTCTCTTGATATTCTCAGCAATATGGAGATGATACAACAACATTGATCACCCAACTACTGTTGAGTCAACAATTTTTCAGTCAAACAATCTTCAAAACAAATCATCCCCAAAATATCATCGATCACCCAACTACTGTTCAGTCAACAATTTTCCAATCGAACAATCTTCAAAACAAAATCCCCAAAATAAGATCCATCACCCAACTATTGTTCATCCAATAATTATCCCACAACACATCTATTGGAATCTAATCATTAATAGAAGTAAAGTGAAACTATTCATCCAATCATACTCTGTTATATAACAATCAAACTGGCACTTGTTACTGCAACCAAATCAAACAACATAGAAGTAAAATAAAAAAACATATCAAAGGAATATTAGTAAAAACATATGTAAAGTAAGCAGCTAGAAGAAAAGGAAAGGATCCTACCTTTCAATCAATCGCAACCAGTGTGTGGAAGAATAACATAACAATCCCTTAAAATCTCTGTCGCTGTTGAGACTTTCCGATTTTGTAGTCAAATTTGAAAAATTTTATCCCTTCCGTGAAACAAAACTCACCATTGAGTTGATGTGCAATAGTTGTCTCGCTAATTCACAAGGCAGTTTGACCAGGATGTTGAAAAACATAAAAATCACAATCAAAAGGGATGAGTCGCATTATATCAAACATCCAAAGTCCACAGACAATTCAAATTTCACCAAATTTTTTCTTTATCCTCCGAATAAAATATCACCATTTCCAAAGAACTGAATGTAGTCAGACATGAGCTCATTTCTTGAAACACGGAGATAAACTCATATTTGACTACATTCAGTTCTTTGAAAATGGTGATATTTTATGCGGGAGGATAAAGAAAAAGTTGAGTGAAATTGCTTGTGGACTTTGGATGTCTAATATAAGGCGACTCATCCCTTTTGATTGTGATGTTTATGTCTTTCAATATCTTGGTCAAACTGCCCTGTGGATTAACGAGGTAGCTAATCTACATCAACTTAATGATGAGTTCTGTTTCACGGAAGGGATAAGATTTAATAAATTTGACTACAAAATAAAAAATTCAACAGCGACAGAGATTCTGAGGGATTGGTATGTTATTCTTCCAGACATTGAACTGGTTCTGCAATTGATTGAAAGGTAGATATTTTCCTTTTCTTCTAGATGTTTACTTCTATTTTAACTAATATTCTTATTCATATGGTTCTTTTGTTTTTAATATTCCACTTAATGTGATTTTTATTATTTTACATATGTTTTTACTAATATTTTTTTTGATGTGTTTTTTTTTTACTTTACTTTTATATTGTTTGATTTGGTTGCAGTAACAAGTGCCAGTTTGATTTGCGTAGCCAGGTTGTTATATAACAGTAAATGATCATGGATGAACAGTATGAACAGTATATGATCATGGATATGATTGTGGGATGATGATCACAGTAGTTGGGTGATGGATCATATTTTGGGAATTTTGATTTGAAGAGTGTTTGACTGAAAAATTATTGACTGAACAGTAGTTGGGTGATGGATGTTATTTTGGGGATGATATGTTTTTAAGATTGTTTGACTGAAAAGTTGTTGACGTTTGGGTGATCAATGATATTTTGGAAATGATTTGTTTTGAAGATTGTTTGACCAAAAAAATTATTTGGCTGAACATGTTGGCTGATGGATGATATATATATATATGTGTGTGTGTGTGTGTGTGTGTCTTTGATGTGATCTTTGTCATGGCTTTAGTTTGATTCTTGTGCATATTTTGTTTCTCTTTCTTTAGTTAGGTTCGAAATGTAGACACACTTACTTTTGCCCTCAGCATAATATTTAGCTTCATATGAAAATTAGGAACACCAATTTAAGACACAATAGCATAATTGGGAAAACACAACCAACCTCCATATGACATCTCTCGTATGAATCCAAGTTTAATAAAGATTGCTGACACTTTTCCGTTGAGAGAATCCCTTGAGCAGGTGGAGTAAAATGCAAGTATTAAAAACAAGTATTTCAACCTCTAGAAAGAAAAAACAAATCATTAAATCAACCTATCTAACTTGAGATTTATTAATATTTATAGGGTACTACTTCAGGAGAAAAGCAAACAAAGTTTTCACATGCTATATTATCTTCCTCTCCCAATTATGCTTCTTAAGTTATTACCAAACGCATCTATTTCATACTAATTTGGCCATCAACTTGAGCTCGTTTAAGCTTGTGGCTTTTTTAACATCAAAATGTTCATTTTCTCCGAAGGCTCTAGTTTCTTTCTATTCAAGATGAAACTTACTTGAGTCTCACATCAAGCCGAAACCACTCAAGTTTAATTTTTCCAATCGTTTTGCACCAATTAATAAAACAAATCTGCAGTGGCGGCCACACATGAGGTATATTGCTTTAACCATGTGGGGCAAGAAACTGAAAAGAAAAAAGGAGCAGCACATACATTCACATCGTACATTATACATGAATAAAGCATTTGCAAACAACTTTTCCTCCTTAAAATAGGAAGTGCTAACCAAAGAGTGTCGTAGAACCACGAACTTAAAAAGATCACATTCAATAATATAAACTAGCATTTCAACTTCATCACGTATTATTCCAGCCTTGATTAAATCCATATATATTAGAAGCAGTGGGGGCTTGGCATACTGAAACTGTTAAATGATGAGATGGGTAAAGTTGAACGAGTAAATCATTAGGATTAAAAGTTCTTTTCAGAAGGTTCCGATTTATTATTCCTTCAATTACACAAATAAAGTAATTTCTTCTAGTGACCTCTTGATTGGTGCTATCATATACACTCTACTACC